GATACAATGTATATCAGATATGTCTGTCTGCTTTTTCTCATTATGAATAATGCCTTATATCTGTCTAGCCTTCAGATGCCACTGAGTTATTTATTAACCGTACTTTTTTGATAATCAGGCCGATACAACATGTGCTTTCACGTGGTCAACCGACTACGCAATGGCTCATAGGTGCCACAATCCTTGCGGCGCCAAAGTTCGCACCAACCTTCTTGCTATAAGGGGAGTAAATGGAAGCCTGCCATACATTAGCTGCCTGGTTCATAGACATCCTACTGTAAGACACCACGCGCTGTCTAGGAGCACACTTCAGCTTCGTCTATTCGTGCGTTCTTCGTTGTCATGAGATTCCTCAGTTCAATAGCAGCAGCAGTGCCTCTGCTATTTTCTCATGAGGGTCCAACAATCCTGCGTAACGTGCCTCCTGAGGGTGGACCCGTATCATATCTTAGATGAAATGATTCTTGTGGTGGCCGTAATGTACTATGTGCGTACGATCAATAATGCATGCGCAAATAGACTCGCACGCAATGTTACCGCTGGTCCTCTTTTCGGGGAAATTTTCCTTATCGCGCTTTCAAGTAGTGGAAGTAAACTTCCAATTAGCAAAGTCTAGAGGCCCAGATTGCCGACCTCCTGGGCGACCAGTCCACGCTGTTGTCCATCCATTGTGACACAGACCTTTATATAGCAAGGTGATGATGGGAAGAGAAGGCACAAGCTTAAAAGACCCGGATTTGTGAGCAGTTGGGCAGTAGATAAGGCAGTGTGAGAGCTCTGCGCACATAGAGGCACAGTTGGTACGGCAGGGGTAAGATGTAGGCTTCAATAAGCCTTCGTCTATAAGACCGTAACAATACCCCATACCAAAACGATGACCACCAGGCAATACGCCCATGGCGCGTACTCACTGTGGTCTGCGCTACCATGCAGACCTTTCCTCACTCATAAGAAAACGTTCAGCATTCAGTACACAGAACAGCAATGCATCGACCATGCAGGCTTTGGAGTGCACGAATTATGAGGAAGCGTTGTTAAAAAATCTGAACACGCAGCTGTTATTTACACAATGTGGAAGTATGAGTGTCCCTGTTTGGGGCGTTTAGGGGCCTGACAAATCCCGGTCCCGACAACAAACCACCTCAGTAGAAGTGACTGCTATATAATGACCAGAAACCCTGACCAAGATGTCGTAAATTACTGTGAATAGTTTTGTTGTCCAGTGACAATATGTTCAGTCCCACAAAAGATACGACGATAATTATTTCCCTATGGATAGCGAATTAAGCAGTTAAGCATTGTTGAAATAGCAGCCCATATGACGTATCACAGGGCAACATCTTCAAGGTCTAAACTCGTACATCCAGGCAAGCAGTCAAAAGGATCACCGCAATGGTGATTCTACTGCCTTTTAGAGAGATGCAACACGCTGCGTGTAATGTAGCAGCGTTTGGCCAGCGTAATCATTTGAGAAAGGCGGACAGGTTTGCAAGATTGATGGATCTTGGTCAAGACAGCAGATGATTTATTCCGGCGAGTGGAAGAAAACAGAGCCGTCTGTATACGTCAGTTGAAAGCATGATTTGGTGCTTTGCAGTTTCGTGTGTTCTTGGAAACATGCACAATTTTGATTTAAAATTGCACCTAGCATCACCTTTCTGCACCAATCTGCCTTGTCGTTAGCCATTTTCTGCTTGTGTCAACTTTGTGTTGTGTAAAGCTAGCCATATTTTAGTATTCGGTGGCACAAATGTGCCTTCCAGCTACTTGCTAAAATGTAGACATTGTTCTCAGCATGAATGCAGCAAGAAAGGGCATTACAAGAGTTGAAATTAATGTACTCTTGAAACTTTCAGCTGACTTCAAATATCAGTTAATTTATTAAAATGACCCAATTTAATGAGGTCCCCTGACGCCACTAAGAAGACAAAAAAGTGGCGGTGAACACGCACAAGAACGTGCATTTATCTTCACTGTCGTCTATAGCTGCACGTGCCCTGGTGGCAGGCGCAAAAGAAGTAAAGAACTGGCCCCGTCGGCCTATCAGACGGAGCCAGAAGCTTGAGAAAAAAAGACGCGCTGGCCTGGCCGGACGTCAACGAAGTGAAAAAAACAGCGCGTAACACAGGACACAGGACAGAGAAGAGACGGACGAGGCGCTCTTCTCTGTCCTGTGTCCTGTGTTACGCGCTGTTTTTTTCACTTCGTTGACCATGTACCAACCGGCCCAAATAAGCACTTTAGTACGGACGTCAACGTTCGGCAGGGCAACACTGCCGGATGTACCTCGTCGGACGTAAACGCCCGAGGACTCCATACACGGCACGTCTTCTGTTCCGGCGCCCAGCGGACGCAGCACCTGTGACATCCCGCCTGCCCCTTCTCGCCCGACAGCGTCCACGATCCGTGACGCCGCCACGACCATCGAGTCAAGGCCCATAGCGTGAGCGCGGCGCTTCTTTGAACAGTTTTATAAGGCGCTTCTCGTGTTTACTGTAGTGCTGTGCTTTTGTATATATCTCGTGTGTGCTATTTTCTGTTGGGATATGTGTTTGTGTGCCGTGCAAGTTGCGTCCACTTCCTTGCTGCCTTAGCCGGCGTCTCTCACACGACTCTTAAGGACTGCTCCCCGAACTTTTATTTCATAACGTGTGCTCACCATCTTTGACCGATATAACATGTCGGACGAATATTGCCTGGCAAACAAATCTGTACAACACATAGAGATTCGACCATCAAATTCTTTTCAAACCCTGTTTTCTTTATATTTTCATTGTGTGCGAGAACTGCAGTGTGACTGATGACGGTGGGATCGGCACCGGTGGTGGACCATCGGCCATTGATGTGAACTCACAGCAGGATACGTTGCATTCGAGCCTCCAAAACGTCTTTAAACCAAGCTGAACATGCATAAAACGCGTAGAAAACGCAAGGGGCGTTGTGAACGCATGAGAAATAGGACATCAACAAATTGGAAGACACTGTAGCTTCGCCTTGAAGAGTGGATCGCGAGAGCGTAATCGCGCCTTAGCGTATCGCCTGCTGAACTGATAGCCTGCTTCACTTCTCGGGGCATGCCTCAATCGTGCCGCGAAGAAACGAACGACTGTTCGCGTAACATAGGCCGTTTTAAAGTATCGCTGAATGTCTATTGCAAGCTCAATGAACAGGTGCCCACTGCGCCATTAATATTTGCGTTGTGGATCAGTAAAAAGCTATCTACGCGTTCGTAGTGCAACACGCTAATTAACAGACACTGGCGTTAGCTTTTTCTGTCCTTTGTTTACTAATGACGAGTAAACAAGCCGGCGCGTTTAGTAAAGAGTGGGTCTTCAGCACGGCCATTAATTGCTCAATTCCCATTTTCTGACACCTGGCAAGATTCTGAAGGCTTCTGCCACAAAATATATGAAGCATTAAGGCGAATCCTTCTGATGCTTGGAAAAACTATCAATTTCAACAAATATTGTGGCTCTGCTGCGTAACACATGCTTGCCACGCAGACGTCCCCGACTCAATCATCTTGCCCCGCCGTGGGGTCTAGTAGCTAAGGTACTCGGCTGCTGACCCGCACGTCGCGGGATCGAATCCCGGCGGCGTCGGCTGCATTTCCGATGGAGGCGGAAATGTTGTGGGCCCGTGTGCTCAGATTTGGGTGCACGTTAAAGAACCCCAGGTTGTCGAAATTCCCGGAGCACTCCACTGCGGCGTCTCTCATAATCATATGGTGGTTTTGGGACGTTAAACCCCACATATCAATCAATCAATCGACTCGATACTCACTGAAAACTGAAATTTTTATTACTTATTTCATGTGCATCGTTTTCACTTTTTCAGTCACATGAAAAATGGCGATTTTTTTTTGCACACAACCAACAACACCGACGCTCTCGCCGCAACTTCTGTGGGGCGAACTATTTAACGCCATCGCGTTAAACGAACGGACAACGTTGAGAGAAGTTGGTTTGGCCGGGTGGCCAAATCAGTAGTATTGGCGGGGTAAGTTTTGTAGCAGCGAGAGTAGATACTTCTTTGTTCGGTTCAATGTGCTGGTATGGCACGAGTATAAAATATTTTGATATGGAAAGCAACAAAGCTGACATAATCAGGGCCAAGGTATTCATCTCTGTTCTCTGCCCACATGTCAGGTAACTTTACACAATAATATATCGTGAACACTAGCTGCACAATACAAGATGCATCATAAAATTTAGCACGGATGCCTCGGACATCCTCGAGAGTGTACATATTGTAGTTTTTCAGATTTGCAGTTTCGATAAACAGGTAAGTGTGTCAATTACCAAAGAAGTTGACGTAAACAAGTGTAAAAGAACGGGGGATAGAGACACTTGGCCACGCGTTGCACCAAATATTCATACACACCGATGTTCAAGTGTATAAGCTTACATGCATCAACAAAGTAAAAAATGTGTGAAAAAGTTTTAATAAATAAAACACAATAATTGTGAAACAAAGGTGTGTGAGTGAGGATTTTTGAAGGCAGCGAAAATACATTTACGGTTAAGCAGCGGTGTTTGAAGCATTGACTAATGAATCTGATGGATTATTGATGCACGCTGATGCTTGATGGATGCACAGTTGGGGATGATGCTACTGTCCGTCTGATTTGGCGAATTTATTGATTTACTGTTTGCCTGATCACGCTGCTGGCAGTTATATAGGTCATCCACAAGGCCCGAAAAATTGGCGTGATGGATTATCAGTTCACCGCCTAAATTCGGAGCATTTTCGCAGTAAACAGATTTAGTGTGGGCTTTGTTTTGTGCCAGAAACATACAGAAAACAAATTATCAGTGAATGCCGTAAATTGAAACACACTTCTTTTAGATTTCACGACGAACACTAACGATTTTCTATGTGTTCCATACGTGGTAACAATCTAGCACACTCGCCTCATATTCTTTAGGAACATATAGATACAAGAAAGTGACACTTTGTTAGGCCCTATGGTTATTTTGAGAGAGGGGAAAGTTAACTACCTTGAAGGCGTCCGGTACTTCACGACGCTGAATTTCGGATGCTTCATTTTCTCTGGCGGATATCACAAGTAATGACCATAGTACAGCGGTTTTCGCCATGAAAAACGGTGTTCTCATGATTGTGTGGAAGCTATGGTCAGCACAAACCAAAATGAATAGAAGAAATCAGCCTGGTTCATCAGTTTTCCTGCCTTTATAAGTACTGTAGGCAAGCCAAAATTTATTCACTAGAGCAACCGTTTTTTTCTACACAACAGAACCGCGCTAACCAGTATGATGTAAAGTCTAACATCTCCTGTGGCAGCTGTCATTTTCATATCTTATAGTCTTTACTACAGACAATGACGAATAACAAAACATTCATTTGTCCTGTTTCAGAAGCTTAAATATACGCAGGAATGTCCGAGAGAGCGTCATTACCCTTTCTATACATGTGCGTGCGTCACTCAACCAACACGCGATTACGGAAGTTCATAAAAGAAAATTGGCAGATTCCACCTACAGTGGGAATCGATGATATGCGAAGCACGAATGAGGCATGTTGGTATGTGAATTTAAAATCAGCAGAACGTTACGAGGTGGAGGTAAATGATTCCGTACATCATTTCCGTGTCATGATTATCACGTTTGGATGTGTCGTGTACCTTCGCCATCTAGTCACGTCACGTGATACCAAATTTAATAAATGTGGATCTAGCAAAACGGCCACGAGCATGCTATGAGTGTAGTATGTTGTCATGTTCCTAGATAACATGCGTGCTAGGACTATCTTCTTTGCACGAGTCATATATTTCGTCATCTATTGACGTGACGTAACACCAAATTCGGTATATGTGAAGCTAACAAAACAGCTGCGAGCGCATCATGAAGGGCCCGATATACACCGATGTAGCGTTGACGCACGCGCACGCTGGGCACAGCGACGCTACATTAGCAAAATGCGAGCACTCTAGATAGTCTGACACGAGGCGCGACCAGCGTCCGTCGGCGTGGCCCGACGGCAATCAGCGCGAAATGTGACATGCTGCATTTCGCGCCGATACGTTACACAGACAACGCTGCGTCTCACTCTTTTCGGGACGGCGGGACGCCGGAGGCACTGAAACGCGAATGCGTCAAAGCAATGCAGCATGGCGTGCTCTTGCGAGTATATGGCATGACCAGGTGGTGGTAGAAACATTTATTGCCACTGTATAGCGTGGGGGCCGAGCCCCCTCATGGCACGTGGGTGCTCCCTCGCGGTGAGGAGGCACCCTTACAAAGCAAAGGAAAGCCCTTGAAGTGCGATCCTCTTCATGGCGCACGAGATGATCCGGCGCTGATCGAACGCAGAAGTGCTGGTCATGATGGTCTCCCAGTATGACACTGCCACAGCCGGAGGTGGGGGATGTGGGAAGGTGGGACATGTGAGGAGGATGTGGAGGAAGTCTCCTGGTTTGTCGCAAAGTTTGCATGAAGAGGGGAAATGGTCTGGGTAACGGGCGTTTAGTAATACGGGGTATGGAGCAGTTCGAGTTTGTAGGCGTCGCCAATGTGTGGCCTGCGCTATGTTTAGGGATGGGGCTGGGGGTGCGTATATTCTTCGTTGTTCCCGGTAATACGATAGAATATCACGAAAAGAGAGCAAGCGCTCCTCGACCTGTGGAGGGGGCTCCATTTCTCCTGCCCGGAATGTGAGACCTCGGGCTAGAGAATGAGCCTCCTCGTTGCCAAGGAGGCCGGCATGTGCTGGCGTCCAGATCAGGGTTGTGGAGCACTGAGGCTGCCAGAAGCGTAGCAAGCGAGCAGCGCTACATGATATCAGGCCATTGGCGTAGTTAAGAATAGCTGATTTCGAGTCGCTAATGATAGTGGTGGCAGGTGTGGAGATGAGAGCAAGCGCGATGGCTGCCTCCTCTGCCTCTGTGGAGGAATTTGTGACAATTGAGCAAGAAGTTAGGAGATTTGCCTGATTGTCAGCCACCGCAAGGGCCATGCGGGATCTTGACGCATATTCCGCTGCGTCAACGTAGACTACATTCTGGTCCTCGCCATATTGTCTCTGGAGGGCCCGGGCCCTTGCCTTTCTGCGTTTCTCGTCGCGCACAGGATGCATGTTCTTGGGAATGGGCGGTACGTTTAGGTGAGAGCGGAGGTTAGAAGAAAGAGGGACCCTTCCAGGTGATTCTGTTATTGGGGATAAGTCTAATTGGGTCAAAAGAGCGCGGCCACTCACCGAATTAGACAGACGACATATTTGTGCCGTAAAGGTGGCTTCAGCGAGTTCCTCAAATGTATTATGTACACCAAGTTTGAAGAGTCTGTCATTGGATGTGCTTGGGGGAAGGCGTAGAGCTGTTTTTGTGCAACTTCGTAGAAGCGCGTTAATGCGGTCTCTCTCTTTTTGTCGGAGAGGTAGGTATGGGAGGGCATACGTGGTGCGGCTGACGATGTAAGCCTGGGTGAGGCGAAGCGTGTTTCGCTCGCGTAGGCCAGCCCGACGGTTCGCTATGCGACGAATCAGCCGAATGGTCTGCTGAGCATGTGTTTGGAGAGTCCTGATGACTTCTCCATGTGCGCCATGTGAGTAGAGTACTAGCCCTAGCACCCGAATTTTTGAGACAAGTGGGATGGGGTGGGCACCTAGCGTGAGAGAGATAGGGGGGATGGCTGAAGCATGCTGCTTCGGTCGGTAAAGAAAGAGCTCTGATTTGGAAGGGGAGCAGGTAAGGCCACGTTCTCGAACATATGTGTCGATGGTGGTTAGTGCCAACTGTAAGTGTTCTTCTATTTCGGCGTCACTACCACGGTTTGCCCAGACGGTGATGTCGTCGGCATAGAAGCTGAAGTGGATGTCGGGGATCTGACCCAGTTTTTGGGGCAGATGTAGAAGTGCTATGTTAAAAAGAATAGGTGAGAGGACTGCTCCCTGGGGCGTACCACGGGCTCCAAGCGTGATGCCTGGCAGGCTGTGATCGCCAAAGGTAAGTGTTGCTGTGCGGTGGCTGAGGAAGTCGCGGACGTAGTTGTACATCTTTACGCCGACTCCCAGGGTTATAAGGTTCTCTAGAATAGCTGAGTGCGCAACGTTGTCAAATGCCTTTGTTAGATCTACTCCTAAGATAGCTCTGGTATCGCAGGTTTGAGAGTCAAGAATGTGATGTTTTAGTTGTAGGAAAACGTCCTGTGTGGAAAGTCCAGGGCGAAATCCAAACATGCAAGCAGGCAAGAGATTCTTGCCTTCTAGGTACTGGCAGAGCCTGGTTTGGAGTACGTGCTCCATGAGTTTGCCGACACAAGAAGTGAGGGATATGGGCCTGAGGTTAGACGTAAGGAGAGGTTTCCCAGGTTTGGGTATAAAGACAACCTTGGCCTCTTTCCATTGTGGTGGGAGGATGCCCCTTAGCCAGCACTCATTAAAGTATTCAGTAAGCTCGGCAATTGATTGGTCGTCGAGATTACGGAGTGCTTTGTTGTGAATATTGTCCGGACCGGGGGCTGAGGAAGTGTTTAGTTTCTGTAGTTCGGCTTGAACTTCGGCTACTGTAATGGGTTGGTCGAGGAGCTCATTAGGAGGACCTGTATAATCGGGATACAATGCGGCAGGGTATGTTGGGAAGTACTGATTTCGAAGTTCCTGTAGTAGTTCTGGTGGAGGTTTATCGCAAGTATGTAGGAGTTTGGTGAGGTTGTGTCTTTGGGTAGTCTTTGACTGAGTTGGGTCAATTAAGTGTCGGAACAAATTCCAAGTCTGAGGCATACTCATATTGCCATCTAATTTGTTGCAAAGCGATTCCCAGTTCTGTCGCGAAAGAGTGGCTGCATGGGTCTCTATCTCTTTGCTCAGGCGGGCCAGGCGACGTCTAAGAGTTCGGTTCCAACGCTGGCTTTGCCAGCGTCGTTCTAGGCTTGTTTTAGCGTCCCATAAATGTAGGAGACGAGAGTCAACTGTGTCGCTTGGGCAGTCCTCTCGTACTAGACGAGTTGCGGATCGGACATCACTCCGGAGTTGTTCTGACCATTCAGTGATGTCCGTGATAGAGGCGTGGGTGCGTGTTGCCCTATAAGTGCGGAAAAAATCCCAGTTGGTAAAAGTGGAACCTCTGAGAACCCTGCGGGGTAGTTGCATATTTAAGAGAATTTCGATAATGTAATGGTCACTACCCAAATTCTCTTGTGTGTTGCACCATGTGGCATGAGGGAGGCGATGTGCGAACGAGAGATCTGGTGTAGTGTCCTTGCAGACACTATTCCCTATGCGTGTCGGAAAGGCAGAATCGGTGAGCAGTGAGAGGCCGGCTTGCTGCGCTGCTAACCACACCCGACGTCCTTTTGGTGTGTCGCGCGGATAACCCCAGGCTGTATGTGGGGCATTGAAATCTCCCACGACGAGTAGGGGGCACTTATTGGCTATGCGTTTCGCGAGCGTAAAGAGGCGCTGGAAGTTGCCCTGTAAGCACTTAGGGCTGCTGTATACATTCAGGATGAAGAGGCTTTTAGCTCTGGCATGTTGCGGCACAAGCTCAATTAAGAGGTGATCAATGTCTTGGACTGCTAAACAGTGGGAGATGGTGGTGATTGAGCGATTAATTAGAAACGCCACCCGAGAGGGTGTAGGGGATGTGGGTGTAATAGAAGTATAGCCGGGTAAGGTTAGGGGGTTGGAGGGTTCTTGTAGGGCAAGGATATCGGGTCCCGCAGCGCAAGATAGCAGTTGGTGGACAACATGACGCTTCTGGCCAAAACCTCGGCAGTTCCACTGCCAGAGTGTCAGATTACGGTTTAGAGCTGCCATCATGAGAATTGAGAAGGGGCGTAGCCGCCGCGCAAGGTTGGGAGTCGTTAGTGACGTCAGGGAGTGGATTGTCTTGCCCTTCAGTTGCTTTGGGCTTCTTGCGTTTACTTGGGGTGAGATCCCGTTTTGCAAGGCGTGTTGCGAACAAATTGAGCTGTGATTCAAGATTGTTGTAGCGGTCAGTTAATGTTTGAGCTAAAGCATCAAGACGATGATTAAGTGCTGCATTGTCTGTTGTTACACGGATTACCGCATCTTTGAGCGTTGTGCATTCCTGATTGATGCTGGTGATACCTTCCTGCAATTTTGCCTCAAAACGAGCAGTAAAAGACTCAAGCATGGTTGGAATATCGGCTAGTGAGCTGTGTGTTGAGGGACG